CTAAACTCCACCGAAACCACCCTGCTGAAAATCACTAATGACCTGCTAACCACCAAAGCTAATGGCCACTACTCAGTCCTCCTACTCCTCGACCTCTCCGCGGCCTTAGACACAGTCGACCACCCCCTCCTCCTTACTAAACTACACTCCCTTGGCATCAGGGACTCTGCTCTCTCCTGGTTCTCCTCTTACCTATCCCAACGCTCCTTCAGCGTTACCTATAATGCTGCCACCTCCCCCTCTCTGTTGGGGTCCCCCAAGGCTCTGTCCTCGGACGCCTTCTCTTCTCCATCTACAACTCCTCCCTTGGCAAAACTGACTCCCACGGCTTCAACTATCACCTCTATGCCGATGACACACAAATTTACCTCTCCACCCCTCACCTCACCCCCTCACTCTCCGCCTGCATCACCCAACTCCTAAACGACATATCAGACTGGATGTCGCTCCATTTCCTCAAGTTAAACCTTTCCAAAACCGAGCTCCTAGTTTTCCCCCCAGCCCGCGCCCCCCCCCCATCCTCTCCATCACGACTAACAACGCCACCATCAAGCCAACCCCACACGCCAAAGTCCTAGGTGTCACCCTGGACTTAAACCTTTCCTTCAAACCTCATGTCCAATCACTATCAAATTCATGCAGGCTCCACCTCCGCAACATCTCCAAGATACGTATGTTCCTCATGTCAGACACCACTAAACAACTCGTACACTCCCTTATTATCTCACACCTAGACTACTGCAACTCCCTTCTCACTGGCCTACCCCAACACACGCTATCCCCGCTCCAGTCTACCCTGAACTCAGCGACTAGACTCATCCACCTCACCAATCGCTCCACTTCTGCCACCCCCCTCTGCCAATCCCTTCACTGGCTCCCGATTGCCCAACGCATTAAATTCAAATTACTAACTCTGACATACAAAGCCTTTCATAACACTGCCCCAAACTACCTCACTGACCTGATACCCAAATACCACCCTACCCGTGCCCTTCGCTCCTCACAAGAACTCCTACTCTCTAGCTCCCTGGTCTCCTCCCACGCCCAACTGCAGGACTTCTCCAGGACTTCCCCCATCCTCTGGAACTCCCTACCCAAATCCATCAGACTGTCACCTACCCTCCTCACCTTCAGGCGCACCCTGAAAACCCATCTCTTCAGGCAAGCCTACCCCACCCTCACCTAACAGCCATTCTCCTCCACTCCTCCCACCACTCCATCCCCCACAGCCACTTCCTCCTGTACCTCTACCCCTCCCTCCTAGATTGTAAGCTCCAAAGAGCAGGGCCCTCGAACCCCTCGTGTATTGTATTGTTACTGTATTGTCTCATGTACTGTCCCCCCACTTTAATGTACAGCGCTGAGCAAACCTTTTGTCGCTATATAAACACTGTATAATAATAATAATCAATGGTGTCAGTTGGAAGAATAGTGCCTCTTCATTAGGGAGGAACACTGCCCCATTGTTGGTGTGAGTGGGAGCAATAATGCCCCATCACTGGGTGTCAGTGGAAGCAATGGTGCCTCATAGGTGTACGTGGGAGGAATGGTGTCCTAAGGGATGGATAAATTAAAGCAAAGAGCTGCATATGTCCCGCAGGCTGCAGTTTGGAGACCTTATTCAGCTATATTGCTACTACTGTATATTTTGGTAGGAGATACAATCTACCTGCTAAATAGTTTTCAGTGCTCCTTGAGTTCCTGTTATTTATTTATTATTACAGGTACTTACTGTATATAGCACCATCAATTTACGCAGCACTATTACATATATATGGTACATTCACATCAGTCTCTAACCCTCAAAGGGCGTACAATCTAAGGTTATGTACTTAGCTGCCCTACTACCTAAATTCCTTTTATAACTACATGTAGTTTTATTTTCTGAATGGCCCTAAAGTAAAACTTGCGAAAATGGAAGTCGGATATTCACAGTTTCTTTCTCTCTGAGGTCACTGCAGCTCAACCCAAAGACACTGGAGCATGAGATGGAGGTTGCACAGTACAGCATATTGTTAAATGAGACTACGGTCCCTCTCAACAGCACTGTGAAAAGACTGCTCAATTCAATAAAATCCATATTTAAGCTATAGAAGATTTTCACATCTGGCATCGTTGTGTTTCCTGTATTTCATTCATTGACTGACTTTCTGTTTTAAGGCTCATCTCTAGTGAATTCCAAATGTGTAAAATTTGAAAGATGTTTACCAATATTTCCATTTTAGGCAGCATAAAATTTTTCAGCTTCTTTTATTTATTTATTTTTAACAATACAAATCTTTCAGCAGATGTTTCCCGTTATAGAAGTCCCCAGACAGCAGAATGCGTTAGATGAAGGTGTTTTCTTGTTACACAAAAGCACCTATTTTTATTTCTTCGCTTTTTTTTTTTTTTTAACCCTGGACTTACTCCAGGTAGACCTGGGCTTGACACGAATTTAAGGCTGGAATCAGATGAACTGAGATCAGTGTTGGCCTAAGTGAAATGTCAGCCCCATCCCGCTATGTGTCATGTTTTTGAGAAGGTGTAATTGTTATTGATCCTCTGTGTAGTTAATGCAGAGCGCTGCAGTACTGAGCAGCTGCTGAGGATAGATATGTATGAGATGAGCAGACGTGGGGGAAAGGCTGCATTTTTCTTTCACTCTAGCGAGATTGATCTTCCTCTTCCTGCTGATTTGGAGTAGGGCCTGTCATTATCTTACTCTGTCATTAGAGGCTACATTGGCCTGTGTATGTCAGTCTATTTGGACAGCAACTCTTTTTCTAGCAGTGTTCCCTACATTTATTAAAATCCCTGAAGATAGTGTTGTGTTCCATTTGCAGCATAAGAGCCTTTAACCCTTCCCTGCAGAATAAGGTGTAGGTTTATGTGTCAATACCATGGTTAATGGCTGAGAGGCAACAGAGGGCTTTAACACATGACAAAGAAATTGAGGGAAGCTTTTTCTTAGCTGTACAATAAAGTGGTGATACAGTGCATAGTATCTATCTGTATGTATGTGTAGATATATATATACACTAATTTCTTTGAATAGTATCACTGTATCACAATGATGTGCCTTGTGCAGTAAGCCAATCCAAATCGATTTAACTTATGGTACTCATATCAATTTCTGATTAGTTGCGCTTTGTTACAGAACGTGCACATCACCACCACACTTTTGTAATGCCTTGAGTTAACATTGCTTAGTATTAAATATTTAAAGCAAATGTTTTGTGGTTTACAGTATATACACTATATTGCCAAAAGTATTAGGACATCCTCCAAATCATTGGATTCAGGTGTTCCAATCACCTCCATGGCCACAAGTATATACAGTTGTGTTCAAAATAATAGCAGTCAGACATCACTAACCTGATCAATCACTGTTTTTTGGTAGAAATTATATTTCTACATGGCAAATATTTTACTTGCAGGTGTAGTAGAGTAATAGAAATCCAACAGACCCAACAGTCATGACATGCATGCTGCTGATTCTGTGTAATTGAATCACTAATTGAAAGGGGTATGTTCAAAATAATAAAATAATAGCAGTGTGGAGTTCTAATAGAGAGGTCATTCTTTGAAAAACAGGTAGCAATTATTGCCCTTATTTAAGGAAGGAAGGTAGCAAATGTTGTACATGCTGGTTACAGTGCATTTCTCTCTGAAATTCTGAGGAAAATGGGTCGTTCCAGACATTGTTCAGGAGAACAGCGTACCTTGATTAAAAAGTTGATTGGAGAGGGGAAAAACATATAAAGAAGTGCAGAAAATGATAGGCTGCTCAGCTAAAATGATCGCAAATGCTTTAAAATGGCAACCAAAACCTGAAAGACGTGGAAGAAAGCGAAAAACTACCATTCGAATGGATAGAAGAATAGCCAAAATGGCAAGGACTCAGCCAACAATCAGCTGCAGGAAGATCAAAGAAGGTCTAATGTTACCTGTGAGTACTGTTACAATTAGAAGACCCCTATGTGAAGCCAAGCTATCTGCAAGAAGCCCCCGCAAAGTCCCACTGTCGAAAAAAAGACGTGTGCTGAAGAGGTTACAATTTGCCAAAGAGCACATTGACTGGCCTAAAGAGAAATGGCGCAACATTTTGTGGACTGATGAAAGTAAGATTGTTCTTTTTGGGTCTAGTGGCCGGAGACAGTTTGTCAGACGACCCCCAAACACCGAATTCAAGCCACAGTACACTGTGAAGACAGTGAAGCATGGTTGCGCAAGCATCATGATATGGGGATGTTTCTCATACTACAGTGTTGGGCCTATATATCGCATATCAGGGATCATGGATCAGTTTGAATACATCAGAATACTTGAAGAGGTCATGCTGCCTTATGCTGAAGAGGAAATGCCCTTGAAATGGGTGTTCCAACAAGACAACGACCCCAAACACACCAGTAAACGTGCAACATCTTGGTTCCAGACCAACAAGATTGATGTTATGGAGGGGCCAGCCCAATGCCCGGATCTTAATCCAATAGAAAACTTGTGGGGTGACATCAAAAATGCAGTTTCTGAGGCAAAACCAAGAAATAGAGAAGAACTGTGGAATGTAGTCCAATCATCCTGGGCTGGAATACCTGTTCACAGGTGCCAGAAGTTAGTTGACTCCATGCAACACAGATGTACAGCAGTTCTCAGAAACAGTGCTTATACAACCAAATATTCATTAAGTGATTCAAAGGAAAGCAAAATCTTCAAACATTTTTCAGTTTTATATAGTGAATGTTTGAGTTTGTAAAAAAGAATACAAACACTGCTATTTTTTTGAACAGTCTAATATTTTTTTCAGTCTAATATTCATTTTCTTCAATTTTTTTTAGAGGAGCAACACAAATTTGATATATTTTTCTTCATGTTTTGATTTGGAATAGAATGTGTAGTGTTCCCAATGCATTTGTGTGTATGGAAATAAAAGCTATTAGAAGGATTTTGAGCTTTATTCACTTTTTTTTTCAACACACTGCTATTATTTTGAACACAACTATAAAATCAAGCCCCTAGGCATGCAGACTGCTTCTACAAACATTTGTGAAATAATGGGTCTCTCAGGAGCTCAGTAAATTCAAGTATTGTACTGTGATAGGTTGCCACCTGTGCAATAAGTCCATCTGTGAAATTTCCTTGCTACTGAATATTTTACGGTCAACTGTTAGTGGTATTATAACAAAGTGGAATCAACTGGGAACAACAGCAACTCAGCCACGTAGGCCACTTAAAATGACAGGGCCAGCTCATGCTGAAGCGCACAGTGCGCAGAAGTCGACAACTGTATGCTGAGTCAATAGATAAGACCTCCAAACTTCATGTGACCTTCAGATTAGCACAAATACAGTGTATAGAGAGCTTGATGGAATGGATTTCCATGGCCGTGCAGCTGCATCCAAGCCTTACATCACCAAGTGCAATGCAAAGCGTCAGATGTAGTGGTGTAAAAAACGCCAGCACTGGACTCTAGAGCAATGGAGATGTGTTTTCTGGAGTGATGTATCATGCTTCTCTGTCTGGCATTCCAATGGACGTGTCTGGGTTTGGCGGTTGCCAGGAGTACAGTACTTACCTGACTGCATAGTGCCAAGTGTAAGGTTTGGTGGAGGAGGGATTATGGTGTGGGGTTGGTTTTCAGGGGTTGGGCTTTTTCAATGGTTCTAGTGAAGGGAACATTGTATAGGGGGATGAATACAAAATTGTATAGGGATATTATTTACATCTTCTATTCAGCAGGTAGGTGGCGCTTTAGGCTGCTCATCATGTTTTCCTCTGGTCCCTTTGCTTCTTTGTTGTAAAAGTCCCATTTTTTACAGAGCTCAATAGTCCAAGCTGGACATTATACACATATGTAAATAAGTCAGGGAACTGACTTATCCCTTATTGGAGGGCTCATCTCCGGTTTCAACCAAGCAAAGCAAACCAAAAGGCAAGCAACTACTGCTGAGTTATCTCTTTAACTATCTCATAGCCATCTAAGAATCCTTTCTTATGTATAAAATGTTTTCATGTGTATGTATTATACAGTTGCAGGAAAAAGTATGTGAACCCCTTGGGATTACGTGGAGTTTTGCATGAATTGGGCATAAAATGTGCTCTGGACGTCATCTAAGTCACAACAATAGAAGAACATAGTCTGCTGAACATAATACTACACAAACATTAGATGTTGCCATGGTTTAATTGCACATAACATGTAAACATTCACAGTGCAGGGAGGAAAAAGTATGTGAGGCCCTAGCTTAATGACTTCTCCCAGAGTTAATTGGAGAAGGAGTGAGCCAACCTTGACTCCAATCAGTGTGATGATATTGGATGTGTTGCTGACAGCTATCCTGCCCTTAAAAAACACACACCTGTTTTGGGTTTACTGGTTTCAAGAAGCACTGTCTGATGTGAACCATGCCTCGCAGAAAAGAGCTCTCAGAAGACCTACGATCAAGAATTGTTGACTTGCATGAAGCTGGAAAGGGTTACAAAAGTATCTCCAAAAGCCTTGATGTTCATGTGTCCATGGTAAGACAGACTGTCTACAAATGGAGAAAGTTTAGCACTGTTGCTACTCTCCCTAGGCGTGGTCGTCCTGTAAAAATGACTGCAAGAGCACAGCGCAGAATGCTGCATGAGGTAAAGAAGAATCCCAGAGTGTCAGCTAAAGACCTACAGAAATCTCTGGCACATGCTAACATTTTTGTTGACACATCTACAATAAGGAAAACATTAAACAAGAATGGAGTACATGGGAGGACACCACGGAGGAAGCCATTGCTGTCCAAAAAGTATATTGCAGCACGTTTGAAGTTTGCAAAAGAGCACCTGGATGTTCCACCGCACTACTGGCAAAATATACTGTGGACAGATGAAACCAAAATTGAGTTGTTTGGGAAGAACACACAACACTATGTGTGGAGAAAAAAAGGCACAGCACACCAACATCAAAACCTCATCCCCACTGTAAAACATGGCGGAGGGAGCATCATGGTTTGGGGTTGCTTTGCTGCCTCAGGGCCTGGACGGATTGTTGTCATTGATGGGAAAATGAATTCCAGAGTTTATCAAGACATTTTGCAGGAAAACGTACGACCATCTGTCCGCCAACTGAAGCTCCGCAGAGGATGGGACAATGACCCAAAGCATACAAGTAATTCAACAAAACAATGGCTGTAACAGCACAGAATACGCCTTCTGGAGTGACCCAGTCAGAGTCCTGACCTCAACCCGATTGAAATGCTGTGGTATGACCTTAAGAGAGTGATTCACACCAAACATCCCAAGAATATTGCTACACTGAAACAGTTTTGTGAAGAGGAGTGGTCCAAAATTACTCCAGATCGTTGTGCAGGTCTGATCTGCAACTACAGGAAACGTTTGGTTGAGGTTATTGCTGCCAAAGGAGGGTCAACCAGTTATTAAGTCCAAAGGTTTACATACTTTTTCCTCCCTGCACTGTGAATGTTTACATGTTATGTGCAATTAAACCATGGCAACATCTAATGTTTGTGTAGTATTATGTTCAGCAGACTGTGTTCTTCTATGTTTGTGACTTAGATGACGTTCAGAGCACATTTTATGCCCAATTCATGCAAAACTCCATGTAATCCCAAGGGGTTCACATACTTTTTCTTGCAACTGTATATATTTGTGTAAGTATGTATGTAAATACAGTGTGCGTATGTGTATATATAATTTTATTTTTTTTGTAGTATTGTAGTGAGTTCTAGCGTCAAATGAGAGCTTCCCAGGATTTCAGCCCACTCAAAAAACATACATTCTAGGGCTTCTGCCCAATTGTATTTGTCTACAAAAGTACCTTTGCACATGGTTTGCCTTCACAGGGGTTCTCCGCATCACACAAATACAAAGTATCTTCCCCTGTCTGTCTATTTAGTCTGCTTGGACCTTCAGCCTGTTTTAGCAGATATTAACCTGTATATAAGGACAGACAGGTTTGGACACGTGCTTGCTTGGTCTTCCTACACACATGCATTGCTCCTGCAGCAATAGATCTTCTGGGCAGAGAGCACTGACTGACAAGACTGATCCCCCTTTTGTAGGACAGCAACCAATCTTCTGAGTAGGGAGCATTGACTAGCTAGGCTTGACTCCCTTTTGTGTTGCAACACCCACCTTTCTCACAATGTGTCATATGTTATATGTTTAATACCTAATTCAGTAGTAAAAGGGCAGGTGTATGTCCAGATAATGCATATTTGTCTATAAATGCTTGAATGCAACTGGGATTCTCTGTTTTATGTTTATGTTCTCACATGTATTTTAATTATCTCGGCCCATACTGGGTCATTGCTGCCCTTGTTTCCCCAGTAGGAGGCACTCCCATGTTGCCAGTTATGGCACTATGAGACTGCTTAATAGGCTTGGTCCTGTATTTTTTGTGTTTTTTTGTTTTGTTTTGTTTTGCTTTTTCTTAATTCGCAGCTATCGGACCGCTATCTTTCAATTATGTCCTTGCTGTGCTAATTTTTTTTCTTTGTTTTCTTTGTTTTCATTTGTTATTTATTTTGTTTCAGGGAACATCCACTTCACCACAGATTAATATATACATGTTTATTCCCAGATTTCTTGCCATGCCATTTATAGTTTTTAGTACCTTGAAGGTTTCAATAATCCTAAAAAGGGAAATCAATTGTTTCACTATATGCATAAGCATCCAAACCTTTCTTCTAGACATTATAACCAGTGGTACACGAGTGATAATCCCCAGTAGAGTCCAAAGCGGTTGCGATTGGTTTTCACACATCCCACCCAATTCAAATCACCAAGAAACTTAGAGACCCCCAATGGCTGGTATATATTCCTTTGTTGTAACAAGTATAATACAGCTTTCATCCTTACTATTTTTTATTTACCAAACCAAGGTCAGAATTTGGTGTTTCAACTAATTATGGCAAAATAAAACTAATTCACAAAGGTTTACCTTATAGTGGGGGAGAGATTTTAATTTTGTAATAGACCCAAAAATAGTTTCCTCTTTGGGTAGGGCACACTTCTCCTTTGCCTTCTATCAATCTAATGTGAAAATGTCTCCAGTCCTTACAGTTAGTTGATGTTTGGTGAGTTTTACATCCCACTAAGAGGGACTTTTTATTCTGCACTCCATACCTCCTATAGTAGAATCGATAATTAGTTTATTTTTCATCCTCTACTGAGCTAGCAACATATTTCTGTGGCATGCAGTATAGGTCAGTTAATTACCCTATCTTTCTAACTTTGCAAATACCAAATACTTTGAAAACCAATATTGTCGTGGAGACTGAACTAATTCTTACTTAGCGATAAAACGGTGTCCCTCTGAGAGGAGCCATTCTTCTGACCCCATCAATGAAATGGGAAGCCTTGAAGTGTGTTGTACGCTGCAAACCTATTCTTCTGGGTTTTAGACTGAAAAAAGTAAGATTTCCCAAAAAGCCACACTGCTCTCTAACATCTTTGATCTCGAGCAATGCCATAAGGCAAACCTCAACATTGCTATTTATCTGGAATTAGCGAAGAAACAATTAGAGTTATACTCTTGCACAGATATGTCTCATATGTTCCATTGTGACCTGGCCCTATGGCCTATGCATGAATTTTTTAATTCAATCAGTAAAATGATCACTCATTTTATACGATAAAGACAGACTCGCACCTATATTCAGAAAATAAACTGTTCTATCCAAGGGGTAGTGCATACTTCAGAACATATAGCCAAGGTATTTCATAACTACTATTCCTGTCTTTTTGAAGACCTTGCTTCTTCAGATGCTAAGAGGCCAGGAGGTGACATCACCACGCATGGTGGTGTTGTCTCGCAGCAGTCGTTTTCATACGGCCAGAGATAACCGTACTTACGATTTTATGCCATTTCACTTGTGTTAGTGGAGACGGGAACAATGTGAGTGTATGTGTTTTGCACTTTTAATAAATATTTTAAATGGTTTTACGCTATGGATGCTTCTTCTACCCTTTTTTCCTATGAGTGAGAGTGGTATGTCAATTTAAGAAGTCCTTAAAGATAGGATTGCGAGCTGCAGACTGTCACTCCCAGAGCTACAAGCGCTTATGCTGGTCTATAATTTCACCAGCATATCACTCTGGTGAGTTTATCCAATTTATCTGGTGGTGGATAGAGCACATTTTTTTTGGAGGTGTCATTGGAATGGGGGACTTTTCACAACAAACAGCACTTTATTAATGAGGAACTTCACATATTGGATGGACACAAGGAGTTATGTTGGATTCTGTGGTGATGTGACTACGTCTAAAGTCATTTAATGGACACATGTTATGCACTTTTTTGATTTGATTGCACTAATCACTTTTTAATTTTTATAATATTGTTTTATATACAGTAAGTCCCCGACTTCCGAATATTCGAGTTGCGAATTTTCACAGATATGAAC